CTCTGGGCCCTTCCTGCTTGTGTCCACTCTCTCAGAAGGCTCCCTCCTCTTCCTCAGCCCCGTCTGTACCCCCCCAACACCCCGAGTTCTGGGCCTGTCCCAGCCTCCTCTGCCTATCTGGAGGGGCAGGTGGGCCGTCACGGGAAACACAGCCGTGACTCTTGAGAAAGTGCAGAGCACAGGGGTGAGACACACCGCAGACAGGGAAGCCCGTCCCCAGTGCGCGTCCCATGTCCTCGGGCCACGATGGCTCAAGGCACAGCTCGCGGCCTCTGGGCTGTGACAAGCGACTGCATTTTCTGATGAAATCACTGAGTCTGATCAAGAAAATAAGTCGTCGTGACTGGAGCCCCCAGCCCCTCCGACGGGGCTCCCACAGACGCCCCCCGTAGGGCAGCGTTAGGGGACAGGGAGCGGGGCACTCACCGGGTTCCCCGTCTGGGCCACCCCGAGCACGAAGACCAGCTGGGAGGAGAGCAGCGCCCCTGCGAGGTGCCGGTGCGTGCTGTGCAGGTTGGAGCGCAGCGTCCGCACCAGCGCCAGGAGCACGCAGGCCGCCCCCAGCGCGGCCAGGGACACGGACACGGCGGCGTAGGTGACGGTCTTCAGGGGCAGGACCTCTCCGTGCTGCGGGCGGGCGGATAAAGACAAGGGCCGGTGAGGGCCGCGGCTCCGACGGGGCGTCTGCACAACGGGGACCGCTAATGACGACCACCACAGGCAGCGCCACCGGACCCCGCCACGGTCCTCGGGCGGAAGAAACCCAGAGCGAAAACCGAATGAACAAGTGACAAAACCGGTCCTGGAGGTGACGGCCACACGGCAGGGCGGACGTACCTCGGGCCCTGCCCCGGAGCTCGGACGTGGCCGAGGCGGAGAATTTTGTGTCGTGGATGTGTGGCCACGATCGAGAATGACAGCGAGGAAAAGAAAACCTCGCACGTGGACGCCGGGCCCGCCCACCCAAACCCCGAGCCGGAGAGACCGCGCCCGCACGCTCCGTTTACACGGGAGGCAGACGGGCCGTCGCTGCTGGGGCTGCCATTGTCTCCTGGGCTTTGCGAAATGTGACAGTGGTCCAGGCCCCCGCCCTGCGGAGTTTTGGCATTTGGGGAGCGAGGGGCCCGGTTCCCTGGTAACCTCTGGGAAGTATGCTCTGAACTCGCCTGGAATTCTGAGCAGGCGATGCCTGGGGGGTGAGGGTGGGGGTGG